TAAGGATTATATGTAACTGAACCTTTTGCAACCTTTGGGAAACTTACATTAGGACATCATCAGTCACTTGAACAGCTCAATGGAAATACAGATCCTTAGATACAGCTCCCTACCCCTTACTGGTCTCTGGAGGTGTGGGGCTAAGGAATCTGTCTTTCAAAACCCAGCCCTGTGATTTTTTTATGTGCATTAAAGTTTGAGAACCCCTGATTTAGGACTTTAGAAAATTAGTTTTCACTGGTATGTAGTTGGGTTTACATTAATAGATTTGTTTTAAACAAGACCTTAATTTAACTATAAAAATGTTTTGGCTTCATAATTTGAGCTAGAGGTAATAAGAATAGTTAGGATTTCTGTTGGTCTTTAATATTTTTAATTCTTTCCATTTAGTAGAATGCTTTCACCTTCTTGAGAACAAAGAAAGCTGTTTGAATTCACAGTGTGAATACCAAGAGTCCATGGTCTGCTTATGGATGTAAAATTATACGTGTGGCCATTTTTCTCTTTTTGCAGAGAGTTGCATTTAGATATAACAAAATGCCTTAGAAGAAGTAGATGTTGTGGCCCCTGCCAGCAAAACAATACTGACAGCTCTAGTTTGCCCATTATTAGCCAAAGAAGTGTATAACCTGCTATCAAAAAGTGGCAAGGTTGGTGGCTAATATTTTTTCTGCCATTTTATAGCTAGGTAATTGGAAAAAGAAGCTTAAATTTTCGGGCTTTTAAATGGTCAAATATAATTGAAGAGAAGTTCGGGGGGAGGGGGGACAACTGACCTTAGAATTGGACATTATTGTTACATTTAGCACTATGGAAACTTGGGCTCATGATTCCATTTCCTTTGGAAGTAGCTGTGTGATTATGCCTTCTGTGCTGTTTGCAGGGATTAAACTTTTACAGATGTTAGCCATTGTCATGATATTTTGTAACAGATTATGAGTTATTCCTCCTTGAACACAGGAGTTTAAAGAGATTTGTGAATGGAGGATCTAAGTATATATGTTATTGGTATATTAGTATGCACTAAAGGGATAAATAGATAATAGAGTAGTAGTTCCCAAATACCTGCCAAGAATCATCTGAGAAACTTGTTAGAATACAGATTTTTAGGCTTCTTTGTCAGATTCTAAAAGTTTGAGATGGGGTCTGAGAATCTGATTTTTAATCATCTTACCGGTAGTGCTGATATATCTTCATTAAAGAAATGTGGAGAATGAAGAGAATCTCTCTATATATAAAAGGCTAATATGCAAAGTGTTCCCTTGGGAGTTCGACCAGGAGACCAGGAGTTCAATCGCTCACTATGACGTGCGCTGACCACCAGGGGTGGCACAGAACGAAGGAAGGCCCCGGCTGGCAGCTGGAAGGCCCCAATCGGCCCTGATCTCCGGCCAGGCCTAGGGACCCTACCTGTGCACAAATTTCATGCACCGGGCCTCTAGTATGTATATAAATAAGGATAAGGGAATGGGGAGTTGTCTAATGAGTATAGAGTGTTTTAGTTTTGCAAGATGAAAAGTTCTGGAGATATGTTGCACAACAGTGTGAATATACTTAACCCTACTGAACTGTATGTTTAAAAATGGTTGTTGGGCCAGTGTTGCTTGGTGGTTGTGCATCAGCCCATGAACCAAGAGGTCACGGTTCGATTCCATTTCGGTTTTATTCCAGTTCAATTTGATTCTGGTTTGATTCCTGGTAAGGGCATATGCCTGGGTTGCGGGCTTGATCCCCAGTAGGGGATGTGCAGAGGCAGCCGATTGATGATTCTCTCGCATCATTGATTTTCTATCTCTCTGTCTCTCTGTCTCTCTCTCTCTCTCTCTCTCTCGGAAATCAATAAAGACATATTAATGAAGCAGAGCATTCTCTTATCCCTGATAGTTACAATATAGCTCATTATAATATCCCTGATGTTGCAATATACCATCAAAGTCATCTTCATAAATATAGTTTGAGAAGTCATTATGGTTTTTCAAGTGGCATTTTTATCCATTTAGTAGTATCTGGTTTTCAACTAAGCCTTTTAGGGAGTTTTATTTAATTTGTAATTACTTATTGAAATTGTATACATTTCTGGATTCATTCAACAGCCAATAGTAGTACTGTCACTACGTGCTGTGACTGTGATTCATACTGCACTTGTTCAGAATAGTTTACATTGCATTGGTGTGGAGTATAAAAATTGGTTTTAAGGTAAAAAGAGTCATTTTATGATGGCACAATTAAAAAATAGAGCAAAGCAATTCTTGGTGCTGTGAATGAAATGTGTATTTATTTATAACATCCAAGGACCATTGTGTGAACCTTGTCTGGCATATTAGTCTAAAATAAAATTGTAGATTAGGCATTGTGTCTTTCTTTGGGAGTTCTTTACCCCATTCTTTTATGCCTTAAAACAGCTCTGCCATTTCCTGTATAACACCATGTTTTCTAAATTATTTTCTAGGATTTTTTTCTTTTATGTAAATCCCTTTAGTTGGTACTGTTTTTCTTGTCTAAAAATCCTTATTTGAAAGGTGCTTTTAACTGTTTTCAGAAGACCACTTGGAAATTATAGATATTCTGGCCAAGGTTAAGCACCTTGTGGTAATGGTGATTTTAAATGGCATCCACATTGCTGATATAACTAACAAAGTATAGAAGTAGCAACCAAGCTGCGGTGGAAGAGACACTGAGACTGACTTTTGGTCTTAAGAGTATGTGGCTGGGATAAAATATGGCAGGAGGAGAAAAAAAGCACTATTTCTTCTCTTTTTTGTGAGAAGGAGGATCATTCTACCTATCCTTGGAGAGTCCCACATTTCCACTAACTTCTTGATTAAATTCTCTCCAATTATGGCTCCCCATCTAATGTTCAGAAAGGTCTCTTCTCCTTTAACATTATTTCTATTTCTTTGGTGTAATATATATATATATGGATTTAGGGAAAAAATAATCTTATTCAAGAATTAACACAAAAGCTCTCTTTACCAGTTCCAATATTTGCATTTCCAAAGAGAAAACTTGTTGAAATGAACTTCCAACCTCCAATGGATGAGTTTTCAAATTGTGTGACAAAAAGTTAGAATGGAGTGCCTGACCGGCATGGCTCAGTGGTTGAGTGTAGACCTAATGAACCCGGAGGTCACGGTTTGATTCCTGGTCAGGGCACATGCCTGGGTTGCAGGCTCAATCTCCAGTAGGATCGATGATTCTCATTGTTGATATTTGTCTCTCTCCCTCTCCCTTCCTCTTTGAAATCAATAAAAATATATTTTAAAAAAATTAGGATGGGGCAAGGTATTTTTTCTTGACTCTAAATCTTTACTACACTGTGATCAGCACCCTGAAGTTATTTATACTTTTGATTGTTTCTCTATTATTCCTGGATTATTGAACTAACAGGTTTTCCAAAAGTTCTGTGTGCACATATGTTAGGATTTTTTATGTGTGGGGATTGGTGGTGTTGACAGTTTTGCTTTCCTAACTCTCACTGAAAATTCCCACAACCCTATCCTAACCTGAGTAATCCTCTTGGATGGCAATGAGATTATAAAAAATTTCCAGGTCTCATTTTATCCATATCTCACCCCAGATGGAACTTTAAGGAACTCTTAAATGGGGGTGAATTAAACAAACACTTGACACACCATACTAAAATTTTACTAACTCCTAAACTTTAAAAAAAAAATGGTCTAAGAGAGCTCTTTTGGCAGAAGAAACATAAGCCACACCATCCAAGTAGAACTGCTCTGGACTACTCAATGAAAATAGTTATAGGAGGCACATTACAATTAAAATGGTTTAAAGATATAATCTTGAATTTTTAAATAATATTGCAAATAATTTCCCCAACTTCAAAGTAAAATACTTACCTCCTTCATTCTAACTGGAACCAGTTTTGCCCCAAAGGTATATAATGTATGACTACTTTTATCTCCTCAGTCTTATGTGTAGGCACTCACAGAACTAGATATATACAGTGTAATAATCCTTTTCATATGATGAGGGCAAATTATAATATAGCATTAACAGAAACTTACCAACTAAAGTAATACCACATGTTCTGTATTCTCACCTAAATGTTAGTTAGGTCAAGTCAGAGTTTATATGAGTATTCTTTATCCACAAGACTATTTAATAATGTTAGGAACTCTGCTAGAAAATGTGGTACTTATTTAAAAGAGATTTTTACACCACCACTACCCCCGGTGTATTCCAGAGATACTTTGAAAACTACTTAAATAATCAAAGGCATCACATTTCTCTGAATCACAGTCACCCTATATTAGAAAGCAGTACAAAGTAAATGAGCGCACTAGGTCAGTAGGCCCTTCTAAACCTGAATTGATATTCTTCACAATTATATATAAAAGAATTAGGTATTTTCTATAAGGACTATCGTTTGTTACATGTAATTCAGATGTTAATGAACCTGTAAATTGTGAAAGTGCCACATGCAGTACCAAAGCCATGGTGAGATATTACTGGCATGTCCTACATGGAAAATATTTTTTGATTTTTTAAAAATAGAGGGATTATAGCTTGTGTCTGCATAATTGAAAACAAGAGGCAATTTAGAATATGCTTCTCTGGCTATTTAGATTTATGTTACCTTCATTTTTGTTCAAAGCTATTCTTCTAGGCATAGTGGAAAGAGAATTCTGGTTTAAAATGGAATTAAAGATTGTTCTCACTAGAACAGGAACTCAGAAGTCAGTATAGCAGGGTAAAGTCTACACCAGCCCTCTTAAGTTTGTTTGTTTGTTGTGTTTTGTTATTGTTGGTCTTTCATGTGATAGGACTTTGGTTGGAATTTTGAAAATACATAATTATTATTTTTAAGCACTCTATATGAGTGCTTAATAGCATTTAGTGTCATTATATATAATATCAATTGCTTAATATGAAACAAGCAACAAAACTCTACACTGCAGCAGGAAACAGTTTTATTTCTCTCTCAACTAAAGTATGAAGTTTTAATGCATTTATATATATTTAAGTTATATAAAATTAATTGTCAGGTTATCTTTTGGGTATACGGTAGGTTGGTACATTTCTTTAGAAATTTCATGAGTTCTTATTTGTACATGGTGTTTTACTCTTCAATTTTTACAAAGCTAGTTTGTTTTGTTTTTAGTAGCCAGGCTTTGAATGCACAAATTGGCTTTTCTATAAGTTTGTATGATTCTCTCCCCAACCTAGATGTATATGTCAGGCTTCTCTAATGAAAACTTCTTATGAGGAGTGTTTTATTACCTAACACTTCTATACCAAATGCCAGTTCTTACTCTCAGGTCCTTATCTGTGAGGGTCATAGATATGAACATGTCAGATACTTTGTTTAGAAAAAAATTAATCCATTTCTTTCCCACATCTCATTCTGGAAGAGTCTATCCAATGGAATACAACACAAGGCATGCTAAAAGGAGGCCCCGCTTCATGGAATATTGGAAGTTTCAAGACAATGGAGTTCAGCTCGTACCATAAAATGGAACTATTTGCCTTTACTCTTTTTGTTTTGTTTTGTTAACACTCTCCTTATTTTTCTCCCACCCTTCTCCCCTCAAAAAACAATCTTCCCCTTTGAAGGTGGGGGGAGGTGGGGAGGGTTAGGTTTAGGACTTGGCAAAGTGTTAAAACATTGACGTAATCAGTTTTACACAAATTGTGTGTTAGCTAGAAAACTGAGGACATTCCTTACCAAACCATGACAATGTACTGCCATAACTTAATAAAAACTGCCCAAGTGACAGTGTGTCTTCTGAATGGATTTTCTTACACCATCTGGTTGTCATTGTTGTTCTTTTGTTATTGCTTTCATTTGAAATATGCTGATGATCTTGTTTTTATTCCGTAGCATTGAACAGATGGGTTGATTATTCTTTTCAGATATTAATAAGGCAGCGGAAAGAAGAAATATGAATACGGCTCCATCAAGACCCAGCCCCACAAGAAGGTAAAGTACCCTGAAGCAGTGAGTTACCTTGGGAGAGTTGGGCTCTGGGGAGTTAAGCCCAACTTCGTACATCAAGGGTCTTTTCTTCCCCCCAACAAATCAGAAACACTCAAGCAAATAATAAGAACATGAACCATGTGTGAGGGGCCTTGCTGCTTTTTTTAAACATGCATCAGGAGATACCGAGGAAGCTTTGTGTTTTCGGTGGCAAACCCAGCAAGTTCAGCTTGCAACATGAGTTGCAGGCGATTGGAAGAGGATAAACCTCTGTTTGTCCCCAGCTCACGTGTCAGTGGGAGCCTCCACAGCAGGAGTGCCCTAGGGTCGTTGGTGTGTGCCATGCTGCTGCAGCGGGCAGCAGAGATTCAACACTTCATTCCAAATGGCTGCCGGTCCAGATGTTAACCCAGGTTACGGAAAGTGCTGCTTGAGAGATGGCTGCTGTACCTGTGCTGCACATCACCCGTGTGCCCACATGCTTGGGGTACCCACTGAGGAGAAATAAAAAGGCATAAACACTCCTCCTCTCAAAAGTCTCCCTTTTTCTTAGCTTTCCTGGAAATAAAAGGCATTTTCCCCAAAATAGTCTTTCTTCCAGCATATACAAAAGAGATAGTCCTGATGTGTACCCTGGAGATAGGCATTAAATTGGCTCTTCTGGCAAAGAAGAGCCTTATTAATGTTACCATTTACACCAGGATGAGTATATTGTGTCCAAAAGTGTCACCTTGCAAGCGGATGATATCTGGTGTCTCTTCATGGCTCAAGTGGATACTTAATATGGATTTTGCCTTTGTCCCTAAGTAAAAATGCCAACTTTCTACTGTAAACGACATATCAAAACTACATGCCACAGTAAACTATATTTCCTACAATGAATTGAACACTGCTGAGTACAATGAATCCTAGTCTACTGGTAGCTCCATAGGTCACCTGGGGATATACCCAACTGAGCATTTACACATAACATACAGCTATCCTGCTTTGGGACAAAACTTTTTTTTCTTTTTTTTTTACCTACTTATAGGAAAGAATGGCTGCTGTATGTTTGGTGTATATGCCCCCACTTGGATATGAAGGGTGGATATTTTCTAAGCTACCAGGAATAGATTGCACATGTCTGCTACAGAGTTTAAGCAGACCCGCGGTTAATGCTGCCAACTTCAGTTGGATTCTTTGAGCACTCTGCCAGGCAGAGGAGTTGAATCTGATACCACAACTACCGCTGTCAGGTGGATGCCCTGGTCTCACTGCAGAAGTGAGCATATACATTGCTATTCTCTCTGTTCTCTCTAACACTATAAGGAGTACCTGCAGCTTATAGGAAATACTTTGTTGATTGATTTTGTGAGTATGTATAAGTATTCTAAAAAAACATAAACGAATCCTGCAGAACTTCAACAGTTCCATATAATTGCTTCCATTATGCTGCGTCTAACCGTGCTTCAGATTTGGGGCAGTTCCATCTGTGTTGCATCTCATTGCCCCAATAAACATGGAATACTGATGGCTAAGAACTTGCATCTATCTAATGATTAGAACTATGGGACTCCCATTGGAAGCTGTGGTTGCCAAATGGCTTGAAAGGAGACCTAGTGTGTATCCATTTTCAAGGAGCTCTAATGTGTGTGTTGCTAAAATAGGTAGCTTACCAGAAGGTGTGTGGAATTGGCAAATATAAAGACACTGATTCCACTAGTAAAGTCTTCCTCCACTCTGTTGACCCCATGATGTTTATGATTTCTGGATAATATCTGTGTGTTTCTGCAGACAAAAAAAGGTGGGCGGGGGAGAGGCACATTGCAGAGTACAGTATAGCTTCTGTTTGTGCTATGAATTAAGAATATTTTATGTCATATTAATGATAGTCAAATGCTTTAAACATTATCAGTTGATAATGTTTGTAGCTTTCAACAAACATTGTCAATGTTGGGGAAATAACCAACTCCCCTGCTTGGAATCCAATATAGCCATTGCCAGTACATTAAATTTAAAAAACTAATTTTATACCAAGCTAAAATGTAATTCCATAATTTCATCTTTATTGGAAGCAATAGCTTTATGCCTTTTTAAAAAACTATTCCCCCCTCAAAAAAAAAAAAAGCCAAAAAAAACAACAACATACAGGCAACATTGTACGGAGCTTTTTAAAATGTTCTTACTAGATATATAAATATGTCACTTTTATATACCTTTTAAAATATCACCTTCCTCAGAAATAAATTTTAAAATTAGGTTATTTAGATATGGATAGGGCCGTGGCTTCCTCCTTTATTTATAATCAATAAAAGGGACAGCTAGGCTAATTTAAATTTTACTAAGACTCAGTCTTCCCCTTGGTGATATGCCCCTAACTGGGTTCCTCAGCATGTTATTTAACATGCTAAAGTTTCATACAGTCATGTTTAATAAGGTTCAGGGAAGAGGGATGTTCACATTTAGTAAAACCTATTCTGAGCCCCATCTAAAACCTGAGCAAAGAGTTCCTGTTTTTTACCTTTAAAAAGAATATTAAAGCCCTAAAACCAAACAAATTGTATACATTGTATTTAAAATAAAACATTAACATTTTAATCATTGCTTTGATCATGTCATGCATTATCTCTTAAGATATATCAATAGGGCAGAAATAAAATGCAATAAGTAGGCAAAGTGGATGAGTGGTTTAGCCTGGAAGGGGCTGACATTTCTCTGAGGGTGAACACTTGATATCACATCACCCTTTAGGTACATGCCTCTAGTCAAAGCCTTGAATTACAAATGTACCAGTATGTTTACAACAACCATACTGCCTTCATTTGACAACCCTAATTTTTTTATGTGCCCCCAGCCATGAGGAATGCATTGTTCATGGGAGGGGGGAATCACTGTACCTGTGACAGATATTTCCCTTAAGTTGTTCATGTGTTCAGTGCTGCTACTTTTAAATTGTGTAAGCATGCTGGTAAGACCTTTGTAACACCTTGTTTTGCTGGACTTTAACCTTGAGTGTCAAAACGCCTAGGTATCTTTGGGAATTTTCACAGGATTATCACCTCTTCAAATGTCTCTGCAAGGCCCAGTTCTGCTGGCATTGCTCTCAGTTCAGTAATGTGCCTCCCTAATGATTCCAACTGTCAGTATGTAATTCTGACAATATTGGCCCAGCCAAGCACAGTACTTTGCATCGGAAATCCCTGCTCTGGATCAAATTTCAGCTTGAATTCTCATCATTTAACCCTTGGACCACTTCACTTGACTTCTTTGAATATATTACATAGTTACCATGCAAGTTGCCTGGCATTGGTGCTAGGCATTAGGCCTTCTTCAAAAACTGGACCATGATTCTAGTTGTGCCTCCGATGTTCTCAGTTTCCATCTGTAGCTCAACACCTTGATAATCCAGGTCTTGAAACATACCCCTACGCAGATGTGACTTCCAAGTGGACTCTAGTTCCTCATCCTTTCCATATGACCTGAAGAAAAGCAAATAGAATTAATTCATCTACATCTACATCAAATGTTCTGCAGAGAGTTTTCCTCATATTTTTAAGGATTTTAGGCCTGATGCCTCTTCAGTGAAAGTCATCAAGGGCTCGATTCATCCAAAATAACCTAGCTGTAGACAAGTTTCTTATATGGCCTAAGATGGTTTCTACCTACCCACAATGTTAATTCCTTTGATAACTGCTTGCTCCTTGGATGTGAGACAGCCCTAGCTTAAGGTGGGCCTCACAATTAAAGATTCCAGGCTGCAATTAACCCTGTACTAACACTTAAGAAGAAGCATCAGTTCTCAGCAAGTGCCATCTCTACCATCAGAAAAGTCATATTTGTGCTTGAGAAAATCATCAGAGTGCTTCCTAGGGAGAAACATGGGAACTTACAAAACTTGAATCTGTGAGGTATATCTCATTGTGCGCCATATCCTACGTGTACCTAATGGCAAAATTCTGCTCAAGTCCTTTGTCTTAATTTCTGACAGCATGGAACCATTGTCATGGGGGGTCAACATCACATAGCAGCCAGCCATTTAGATGATTATATTTGTGGACAGTATCTGTGACAGAATAGAAGTATGAAGAGCTGGTGAAGGATTTTTTTTTCAGGAGGGGGAAAAGGCTGGACCTCCCAAGGAACATATTACAGTAAACAAAAAGACGTTGACAAAGAAAAGGACAAAGGCCTTCCTCCCTGACCTTCGGTACACCAAGGCCAAAGCAAAACATCCTGAGCTTGAGGTTCCAGCCTCTGGCTGAAGACAAGTTCAAAGTCCCTCACCGTCTTCAAGGTGATCAGCTATCAGTTCTTACTCTGTAGACTCTCAAATGAACAGTAGTCGACACTACCACTACATTGCCCAGGAAGAAAAGCAATTCTACCAGAAGCATATCACTTGCCATCTGAGCCATGCATGGCTTTTCCCTTCACCCACTCCTCACGTCTCAAATGTTTCCAAATGATGGCCATATTTCTCTTGAGGCAAAGAGCGTTTGGCTACCAGTATTTTTCCCCTGCTGAATAGATAAGGAATATTTACCAGAATTTTAGTAGTATTTATCACCTGCCTTCAGTTATGGACTCAAGTGCTGAAATTTATTTAACCACTTTTTAGTTTCATTTTAGCTTCTAGTGACCTGGTACCTGAGGGTACACTGCATTTGGTCTCCATTTAAACACCTCTCATGTGGTGGGAAGATATTTTGAACCTTATTCTGCTCCAGAAACTTGCTTCTAACCCATTGGCTATCTGAGGTCAAGCATCTCATTCAGCAGGCTTCCTCCTTGCGGCACTCTGAATCCTGCACACTGTACCCCTTCTGATAGCTGGTCTTACTTTGAGAAAGATGTTGGGGCCAGCAACTGGAGTCCTAGAAGCCCTTTTGTCCTGGGGAAGTTCTTTGTTTGGGTCCCGAAGTGACCCTAAAGGGGTTTTGGTTTTTGTCTTCAGAGGAACAGCAGTCTGCCATACTGCTCAACTTGTGAGAAAGGAAAAAAGCCTTGCCTTTTCATTTTAGAGATTTACTATCTTCTCTATCTCTACTTCCACCACACTTGGGTGGTTCTTTTTCCCCCTTGTGAATGAATATCATCTCTTCTACATTTTTACACAGAAAGCAATTGAGGGGGGATTTGTAGTTGTGTTGCTCATGAACTTCAAATTCATTGAGGGGATGGGGAGTGCTTGCCTTCTCAAACTGGAAGCGTGAACCCAAGCTTTGGGAATTTAGGATTATGGTCAACCTCCAGGGATGGACTCTGACAGGTAAGTAAGGTATTTCAGTGGGTTTAAAAGAATGAGAACCAAATATGGCATTTATAATTATCCTAAGGCCGCGAATAATGTGCTGTTCCACCAGCCCAAAGCTTTATGTGTAGTCTGTGGTCTGTCAAGCTCATGATCTCTCTCAGTCCTGATTGCCAAGAACACTTGAAACCTGATTCCACCTCTAATGACTACTTGTAACTGCTCCCCAAGGCAGCTTTATCTAGCGATCATTAATCCAAAAATACTTTACAGTTGTCCCTTCTCATTAGATTCTGGGTGTTTGCCCACATTATATACTATATCAGATGTTATACATATTAGGAGGATTATATGACATAAGGAAAATTGAAGTAAGAATATTGGTTAGTCTCTACTTTATTCTAATAGGAAAAAAAAGTTTAGCTGTCCTCATTTAAATCCCCTGGTCTCCCATATGTTCCCACAAATTAGGGGTTCTTGTGAGCCTTAAAATATATGACAAGGATTTTTCATAGAAGCAAAGTTGTCATTTAAATTGTTTTTGCTATGCCCTGTAGATGAAGTGAAATTGGGGTTTTCTACCAAGCTGATGGCATCATGATGAATGCTTAATATGTGTAATCATGGTAGATGACAAAAGTGTCAACAAAACATGGCTCCTGCTCTTGAAAGGCTTATAGTTTAGTTGAACAATTCATTAAACATTTCCTAAACTTCGTGCTGTGTCCTAGGAATACAAAGCCTTCTACTGTTTAGTAGGGAGGCCCTGTAAACAAATAATTACAGAACCGTGTGATAAATGCAGTAATAGAAATATATTCTAGAGCAAGATTCATTCAACATGTTTGTGGATCATCTGCATTGCAGATACAGTGACATTTATAGTGGAGAGTTTCTGATAGCCCTTGCCCTCATGGACTTGCAGTCTAGGAGAGTGGACAGACAAGTAAAAAAGTGCTGTGAGAAGATGTGGCCAGGATTTAGGGGAAGAAGATAAACTTTTAAACTAACAAAATGAGGGAATAAGATATTTATGCTGAGACCTAGAAAATGAGTATGCATTCCTGTCTGCTGCTCAAGTAAAGGCATCAGGAAAATTGTTGACTAGTTATAGCTGAAAGGCCAGCATGGCAAGAGAGTGGTAAACTAGGGAGAGGATGAGATGAAGTTGCGGAAGACAGGAGTCAAGACCACTCAGGATCTTAATAGCACTAGAGATTTTGGATGAAATCCTAAATACTGTGGGAAACCAGTAAAGGATTTTACATATTTAAAAGATCACTAGAGTAGTCTGGAGAAAGACTAGAAGAGAGACAAGAGTAGACATAGGGAAACTAGAAGGCCTTTGCTGTGGTTTTAGGGAGAGATGATTATGGGTTGACCTTCAGTGATGCCAATGGAAGTAAAGAAATGTGGACAGAATTTCAGAGAAAGGACGAATGAAATCTGGAAATGTGATTGGAAGAGTGGATGACATCCAGTTTCCTGGCTTGAGTAACTGAGTAGGTAGGTGTGGCATTTATTGAGATAGATAGGACTAGAGAAGCATATTTGTTGGGGAAGATCAAGTTCAGGGCAGGTTTTGTGGAGGAGGTAATACTTAATGTGGGCCAAACAAAAATACATTGTTGTAAAAAGGTAAATACCAGACCTAGCCGGTTTTCCTCAGTGGATAGAGCATTGGCCTGAGGACTGAAGGGTCTCGGGTCAAGGGCACATGCCCAGGTTGTGGGCTCGATCCCCAGTATGGGATGTGCAGGAGGCAGCCAATTAATGATTCTCTGTCATCGTTGATGTTTCTATCTCTCCCTCTCCCTTCCTCTCTGAAACCAATAAAAAAATTTATGAAAACAAAAGTAAATACCAGATCAAGATGAGTAATAGAAATAGTCAGTGCTCTAAGAGTTGAGCAGGAGATGATCAGCAATTTCTAGGGAGATTAATCTGAGATTTCTTCGAAGACATGGGACATGACTTTTCCTGTGAGGATTGGGTGATACTTGGATTAGTGCAGGAAAAATATTCCGGGTTGAAAAGCCAAAAGAACAGAAATATTGTGATAGATGTCATGTAAGTTAAGTCTTAAGAACAGCTTAAGTAAAACTGAGGAAGTTGAATTGGGAAATAGAGGAAAGGTAGCAGTTGGAAGGGGCCAGATTTGCTAGGGAGGGTGGCCAGAAGTGCGATAGTGAAGCTGCAATTGGTAATAGGTTGTGATTTGGGTAGTTAATCTGGTCTTTATGTGTTGAGTGAATTGCAGTCTGGAAGGTTGGTTTTTTGTTTTGTTTAGTTTTTGGAAATTTATTGGTGCCAGCATAAGGGTTTGGGTTGAATTCATAAATCCAGTGAAAACAAACAGCATTGAAGTGACTTAATGGAGATAGGAAAGGAAGAATCAAAGTCAACTTTCAAGAATTTAAACCTTGGTAACTGGGAAGATTATTTTTGTCAAAAGTGAAAATGTCAGGAATGGGACTGAGTGGGTCGAATAAGAAGTTTATTAGATATGTTGAGGTTAAGTTTCCAGTGGAGTAGACTGTCTCCTGAAGAATATTGAATCAGAGCAGGCCAAACAAATCTGTGACTTCACACACTTTAAAAAACAAAACTTGGCAACAAAGGAACTAGATTCTTCATAAACCTCAAATTGAGAGAGACCACTACTCATTAACTATGTTGAGAAGACAGTGTGTTCTTATACTTTACTATGTGTATCATATTGTAATTTTTTCTTTTTTTCCCATAATTCGATTATCCTGCTAGATATTTTAAGTGAAGTTTTCTGCACTTCCAGGACAACTCCTTTGATCACCATTACTTTGTATGAAATTGTGCATTTGCTCTTTTTTTCTTCGTGAGTCTTACTCCTTACTGTGTCTCCCCAACTTTGTCCCCCTTTTAAAGTCTCTTTCAAACAGGTGTGGTAGGAGAAAATAGGTTCTTGGAGAAAGACACTTTTACCTTGAAAACCTATTGAGATTGAGATGCTAGTTGGCATGCATAAGGAATGCCGAATTACTACTTACTTCCTGAAGCCTGATAAGTACTATGACCTCAGTCAAAACCGTTGTCTTTGGGTCATACATTCTTTGTCCTGATCTTTTGAGATTGTAGAACCTATTAGTCTTTATTTGCTGAACAGATGGTCACTGTTCTTAAAATTTTAGTCATGTGCTCATGTTTTGCTACTATGTTTTTTTGGGAGGGAGTGGTTGGAGGGGATACTTCCTCTAATAAGAGCTGAAGGGTTAGCTGCCTTTGATTTCTTTGTCTTAGCATCTTCTTGCTACCTCCCACAGAGATCCATATGGCTTTGGAGACAGTCGAGATTCAAGACGTGATCGATCCCCAATTCGAGGAAGTCCAAGGAGAGAGCCCAGGGATGGAAGAAATGGTCGTGATACCCGGGATAGCAGAGACATGCGAGACCCCCGAGACTTGCGGGACCACAGAGATAGAGACGTTCGGGATCACAGAGACAGCAGAAGTATGCGTGATGCTCGGGACATGAGGGATCTTAGAGACTTCCGTGATCTAAGAGACTCTAGGGATTTTCGAGATCACCGAGATCCCATGTATGACAGATACAGAGATATGAGAGACTCCCGAGATCCCATGTACAGGTACATGTACAGCTATTCTGCTTGGGGTTTTTTTTGGTAACAGTATTTTTTATGTGTGTTCTAAACTAATTGAAAGCTCTGAAGGGCATGATTTTATATTTCTATTGTCTATCAAATGGTAGATATGCTGCTCAGTAAATATTTTAGCAAATGAATTTTGGTCTCTCCCCATGGCCTATGAAAGGCAACATTGTGCAAATGGAAAAAAGATGAAGTGCAAATTGTTTTGGCAGTGCAAAAGCACAGGGCAGATACACTTCATGGGAAATGCACTTCATACCTACTAGGGTGGTTATAATTTATTTTTTAAAAACACAGAGCTCTAGCTGGTTTGGCTCAGTGGATAGAGCGTCGGCCTGCAGACTAAAGGGTCTCCCGGGTTCAATTCCAGTCAAGGGCACATGCCTAGGTTGCTTGCAGACTCAATCCCATTAGGGGGTGTGCAGGAGTCAGTCAATCAATGATTCTCATCATTGATGTTTCTATCTCTCCCTTTCCCTTCCTCTCTGAAATAAATAAAAATGTATTAAAACACACACACACAAAATAGCAGTTGCTGGTAAGGTGTGGAGAAATTGGAACAATATTTTACATTGTTGGTAAGAATGTAAAATAATGTGGCAACTATGGAAAACAGTTTGGAAGTTTCTCAAAAAGTTACAAATGTAGTACAATTACTATGATCAATTCCACTCCTGACTATACCCAAAAGAATTGGAAAGAGGCAAAGGACACTTGCACATGAATGTGCACAGCAGCATTATTCACAGTAACTGAAAGATAGCTACAACCCAAAGTCCATCAGTAGATGGATAAAAAATGTGATGTATTCATGCAATAGAATAGTATTCAGCCATAAAAAGGAAGATAATGCTGATACCTGCTGCAACATGGATGGACCTTGAAAACATGCTAAGTGGCCTGGCTGTTTTTCTCAGTGGTTAGAGCATCAACCCGAGCACCTATGGGTCTCTGATTCAATTCCCAATCAAGGGCATGTACCTCGGTTGTGGGTTTGATACCTAGCCCTGGTCTGGGCACTTGTAGGAGGCAACCAATTGATGTTCTCTCTCCCCCGCCTCCTCTTTCCCTCCCTCTCTCTCTGAAAATCAATGGAAAAAATATCGTTGGGTGAGGATTTAAAAAAAAATACATTATGCTAAGTGAAATAAGCCAAACAGACACAAAAGACAAATGTCATATAATTCCATTTATATGAAGTGTCTAAAAGAGGCAAATTCATTGGCAGAAGTATCTTTTCATGCCCCATTCCCTTCTTTAATGGGTAGAGTTTCAGTTCAGAGTGTTCTGTTTAGAGTGATGAAAAATTATTGTGTGTGTGTGTGTGTGTGTGTGTATACATATATATATACATATACATACACACACATGAAACAGTTCCTCAAAACTAGTATCAGTAATTATCACAGGCCCTGGCCAGTGTGGTGTAGCTCAGTGGTTAGTGTTGGCCTGCACACCCAAGGGTTGCAGGTTGCTTCCGGTCAAGATGGCACTACCTGGGTTGCAGGTTCAATCCCCAGTTCTAATCAGGCCAGTGCAAGAGACAATCAGTGTGTCTTTCTCACAGATGTCTCTTCCTCAGCCTCTCCCCTTCTTTTTTCTCCTCTCCCTCCCTGCCTTCCACTCTAAAAACCAATGGAAAAATATCCTAAGGTGAAGATTAACAAAAATAATAACAATAATTACTACCAGTTATTTTGTGTTTGCTTTATGCCAGGGACTATGCTGAGAACTTTTGTGAATCCAGTCATTTTGCAAGGCAGGTTGACTCATTTGCAGCCACAGAGGTAATAAGCAGTGAGTCCCAGATACAGGCATACCTCGTTTATTGTATTTTACAAATTGAAGGCGAGACCCTCTACCAGCAGAAAGGTTACAACTCACTTTATTGCCATACTTGCTTTATTGCAGTGGTCTTGAACCAAACCCACAATATTTTCCAGGTATGCCTGTACAAACCTCATTTGTCTAATCCCAAAGTCCTATGCCTTACTATGTTTATTTCCTCATAGAGGACTGGGTCTTGAAGAATTCTTTGTATCTGATTTTTTTCAGGATAGGACAGTTTTAATTTTGTGATGATTTCTTTAACTTTACAGGAGAGAGAGCTCTTATGACCGATACCTGCGAATGGATGACTATGGCAGGAGAAAGGATGACTCTTACTTTGACCGTTACAGGGATAGCTTTGATGGAAGAGGCCCTCCAGGCCCAGAAAGTCAGTCTCGTGCAAAAGGTAAAGTAGCAGAAACAGTTTATTCCTATTACTGATGGAATACTTGACCAAAAAAAAGAGGAAACTAATAAACAACTGAAAGGGGGCAAATGATGTGGCTAAGCAGTTCACAAAAGGAAAAAATACAAATAGCCTATTGATATGTAGAGAACATTTTTAAATGCAAATTAGTATTATCTGGTTTAGTCATCTAAGAAGAAGAAATAAATATGGAATTTCATCAATAAGAAATAAACTAAGATTGGAGCTAAAGAGGTTGCTTGCTTTTTGCCCATTGTACAAATAACTACAGTCTGCATTATCTGTGAAGCCTGGGGTTTGTGGGCTTGTTCGTTTGTTTTATAATTTTTACCTAACAGCATCTCTTTAAAAAGACAGACATGCTTTTTTAAAAGTGTGGTTTTCTCAATACATCTTTTAAAGGTTTTTAAATTGCTTCATATCTAGTTGAGTAATAGCACTAGGTGATTCACCCTGTGGGTGAATAAATCAATAAGAACCTTTCTAGAGGACAGTGTGGCAGTGTGTACCAGATGAAGCATTAAAGTGACCATGCCCTTCAATCCAACTATTTCAATGAATTTTTATCTTAAAAAATAATGCTAATGGTTATTTTTTTCCACACACACACCTCACACGTCCACACACTCCCCTTTCACTCACTCACTCACACTCTCTCCCTCACTCCTAATGATTATTTTTAGGAGATAGTCTAGAACAGTGGTCGGCAAACTGCGGCTCGCAAGCCACATGCGGCTCTTTGGCCCCTTGAGTGTGGCCACGAAGCAAGCGCACGACGTGGTATTTTGTGGAAGAGCCACACTCAAGGGGCCGCAGTTTGCCGACCACTGGTCTAGAAGATAGAGAGAGAGAGAGAGAGAGAGAGAGAGAGAGAGAGAGTGTGTGTGTGTGTGTGTGTGTGTGTGTGTGTGTTACGATCTTTGCCTGTGGGCAGTTCGGGATTCAAAGTAAGGCCTGTGCCTTATTTTTGTAGAAAAAATAAGCACAATTCATATTTTAGTTTTCCCTGGTGGTATCTTGCAGAGCGTTTGAAACGTGAAGAACGGCGTAGAGAAGAGCTTTATCGTCAATATTTTGAAGAAATCCAGAGACGCTTTGATGCTGAGAGGCCTGTTGATTGTTCTGTGATTGTGGTCAACAAGCAGACTAAGTAAGAACCCTTTGGATATTTCTCCTGAGTATGGGGAAGGGTCAGAATTGAAATTCAGGCTCCCTCTTGGCAGCTGTACCCACTGAACATGGCCTATGTATTCTGGCATTGCTATGCTGTCTTAGCCAGAGTTCTTTCAATTGTAAGAGACAGAAAACCCATTACAAACTGGGTTGGGCCTCAAAGGGAAATTTTTAGTTTGCTTGGCTTGGAAGTTCAGGTATGGCCACATCCAGGGTCAAACCATGTTACCAATTTTGGGTCTCTGTGTTGCCTTCATTCTTAGACAGGCATTCTCCTTGAAAAGGCAGAATGGCACTGGCCCTAAACATGTATCTTCCTGGCTTAGCAAATGCAATGGAAAGAGAGCTTCTCCTTCCTAGTGCTTCCACCTAAAGTCCTGGAATTGTTTTTCATTAGACTAACCTGGCTCACTTTCCCGTTGCTGGACTAGTCACTTTAGCCAACAGTGCTGGGATGCCCTCATTGGCCAGGGCTAGGTCATATGCCCATCCATCCCTAGAGCTTAAGGTGACTTTGTCCTGTGGAGCCATGTGAACTGAGTTAGAGAGAGGTGCCTTCCCAAAGGAAAATCGAAGCGAAAATATATGCTGGTCATCCAAAGCAGTAGAGCCCCCCCTCCAAGGGACAACCCCAAATCCCCAGTACTTTGGGAGGCACGTCTCCGCATTTGTCAGCCAAGCATGAAGTCTTTTTTGTGAAGTGCCATGGCCTTGCAGAACTGTTAGGTGACCATGCTTGTCAATCCAGAGTTCACAGCACTGTTTGACTCCACTTCTGCTTTACATTCTTTCCTTCGGGAGGCTGAGCGGAGAAGCAGAGGGGAGTATAGCGGCTTGCTGGCTTGGCAGTAGCTATGTGTTCTTTCCCTTGGTGATTAGTAAATAACTTCATGTATTTCTAGCAGTTTGGGGTTAAAGAGCCAATTTCAAGGCAGAACCTAGGGAAATAGGTGTTGAGACACTAAGCAGCAGAAGAGTTCACAGGCTCTGGGCTGCCTTGTTTAGAAGTAGATGCTGCTTTAACTGTAGAAATGGGGTTTTTGTTTGTTTGTTTTGTTTTGTTTGTTTGCTGTCATTTTCTAAGCACCTATTCTGTACTGCCCCCATGCTAGGCACTTTATGTAAAATATTTTTACTCTTCACAGTAATCATGGTACATGTGTATCCATTCAGGTTTTTTGTGTGTATGGCAGATGCTAGGTCCTGGAGCTATAATGGTAAACACACACAGCAGCCCCTTCTTCTTATGGAGCTTACACCCTAGCTGAGCAGATGTATTGGCGATAGGACCTATGAGGAGAAATACATCAAGGATCTAATTTAGATTGGAGAGAAGGTCAAGGAGATGACATAGGAGCTGAGCCATATCATTCCTGTTTTATTAGTAAAGAAACAGATTTGTAAGAGGTAAAGGGATCTGCTCAGAGCTTCACAACTTTGCATGTCAATGTTAGGGCTGGGATCCAAACCCGTCTTTCTAGATGAAAGTCCATGCTTTTCCCATGATCATGCAGCCTCCCCAAAGACAGGTCTGTTTAGGCAGTGAGACGGTATAAGGACTGCTGTACTAGAGAATCAGGAGAAGGACCTGGCTACTACCTACTGTGCTGCCAGCAACTTCATATAGAACCATTCGGAGCCAGTGTAAAGAGAAGGAAATCTTCTAGATCCTTGGAGTCTGAAGAGGCACTGGGGAGATCCTGGGTTGAACTCTCCAAAGTAGCACCCACAGCTGGCTGAAGTGCAGCAGTGTGCAGATGGTAAGTTGGGCGGGCAGTGCTCACCTGGATTCTGTTTGTTTCTACAGAGATTATGCGGAATCTGTGGGGCGGAAGGTACGAGACCTAGGCATGGTAGTGGACTTGATCTTCCTCAACACAGAGGTTTCGCTGTCACAAGCCCTGGAGGATGTTAGCAGGGGAGGGTCTCCTTTTGCTATTGTCATCACCCAGCAACACCAGATTCACCGCTCCTGTACGGTCAACATCATGTTTGGAACCCCACAAGGTACGGAGGCCCAAGTGGGTCAGAATTCCAGAGGTAGTCACTTGGTCCATTAATTCTTTCATGCGGAAATCAGAAGAACCAGAGTTGGGGCAAATGACTCATATTTTCAGCTCAAATATGGTAGGGCCCTTTGATGAGTGCACTGGTGGAGATTTACATGGTCATTTATTCGTCTGATATTTTTGTAGTGGATACAGTTCTATATAAGACGTTATGTTTTTCCCTTAGGTATGTACAGGGGTGTGCTGGCAAATGTTCACCAACCAGTTCCGGGTGAGGAAATGAGGGCAGTATGGTCTGTAGCATTTGCTGATTTTTGTGGTGCAAATGCTCTGTGTCCTAAGTTCAAACCACCCATGTAAAGTCACTTGAGGGAGAGTTGGGAAGAGATGCGCAGTCAGCTCTCGCCAGTGGGAAGAGCTGGTGCATACTACATGAGTGTGATAGAATCCTTGCCTTCACCAAACTTTCTAATGGGAGACAGTACAACAGGCAGTTGGGATGCTATTTGTAAGTGTGCTAAGCAGAGGGACTGTGAGAACGGAGAGGGCCTTGACCTCCTAGAGGTCCAGGGGAGGTTCTTTGAAGTCCTTCCCTGACGTGACTTTTAGTACTTTGCACCCAGAATATTGAGACTCGGCCAACTGATGCCCTACTCATTGTTCTTTCAACACAGACTTTCTCTCTTCCCACTACCCACGAGATCTCTATTTGTCTGACTGGTTACCTCATAACCATAAAATGCATAAGGCTCTCCTGTGTGTCATTTGTCTCTCTGAGGAATAGTCCTCAAGATATGTGAGTTCATTTATATAAAGTTTTGAGAAGTCTTCCCACCACCCTGTAAATTGTGTTGCCCGAGGAGAGGAGGTTACTTAGGGTCACAACTTGATCTTAATCCATTACCTTTGAACTGATGAATTCAAAAACAGTAGGCCAGCTCTATCCCGAGAAGCACAGTGGAGAGCCAGGCTTTACAGACGGGCTTTTTGACCCCCTGCAGCCGGCCCTCCATGGTTATTCCCCACGAAGTCTTTTTGAATCTGTGAGAGGCTATCATGTTTCTTTGATTTTTACTACAAGTCTGTGATCTTGGAATTCTGAAAAGAACCAGCTCTGTACAAAGAGGTGTATTCCCCACCAAAGAAATCCATTCACCTGTCTTCCCAGCTTCATCTCCTTCCTCTCCCTTCCCCATCCCAAGGCTTTTTGTTACTGGTTTTCTTGCTGGTTTGAGGTTAGGAAAGGCTTGGTAGACAGAGGTCAGGAGGTGGGCACTGAAATCTCTCTTGGGAGAAAATAACTCATGTCATTCCCTCCTGCAGAGCACCGCAACATGCCCCAGGCAGACGCCATGGTGCTGGTGGCCAGAAATTATGAGCGCTACAAGAATGAGTGCCGGGAAAAGGAACGCGAGGAGATTGCCAGACAGGCAGCCAAGATGGCCAATGAAGCCATTCTACAGGAAAGAGAGCGAGGAGGCCCCGATGAAGGAGTACGCGGGGGCCATCCTCCAGCCATCCAAAGCCTCATCAACCTGCTGGCAGACAACAGGTACCTCACTGCCGAAGAGACTGACAAGATCATCAACTACCTGCGAGAGAGGAAGGAGCGGCTTATGAGGAGCAGCACCGACTCTCTGCCTGGTGAGCTACGTGGCAGGGCCGAGGTGAAGTTCTGACTCTGCATTTCTCTAATTCCCAGGCTCTGTTGGGAGGGTGGGAGGCCCATGGCTTTTTGGGGTGGGTAAGGGAATGAGCCCACCCCTGTATTTGCCTCATGGGCCTTTATACTGATAAAATGATAACTTAATATTTGGGCACAGACTTCTGATCCCTGTAGTTAATCTGGTGATGGGTAGACTAGTATTACTGACTCCCTGGTAACCAAGGTGGATGCCCTTTTTTCTTTAATTAATTCTCTGGGGGAACTAGGCTGTCTTCTGGAGACAGCTCATACCAAGGAGTGGCCCCTTTGGGAAATTGATGTTATAGTCTATGTACTGTGTGATTGATGTGATCAGTGATTGTTGTTCTTCCCTGGGCTGCCAAGCCTCCTGCCCATGGAGGGTACTTTCAACCAGATGCCTCCTCCTTCTGTCTTGTAGGCCCGATTTCCCGCCAACCACTCGGGGCGACCTCGGGTGCCTCGCTGAAGACACAGCCAAGCTCCCAACCGCTCCAGAGCAGCCAAGTGCTCCCCTCTGCTACACCCACTCCAGCTGCGCCCCCCACCTCCCAGCAAGAGCTTCAGGCCAAAATCCTCAGCCTCTTCAATAGTGGCACGGTTGTGGCCAATAGCTCTGCATCTCCCTCAGTCGCTGCCGGAAACACCCAGAACCAGAATTTTTCCACAGCCGTAAACAGCCAGCCTCAGCAAAGATCACAGGCCTCTGGTAATCAGCCTCCAAACATTTTGGGACAGGCAGGATCTGCTCAGAACATGGGCCCCAGGCCTGGGGCTCCTTCCCAGGGCCTCTTTGTCCAGCCTTCCAATCGCCTGGCACCTGCCAGCAACATAGCTAGCCAGAGGCCGGTACCTTCCACAGGTATCAACTTTGACAATCCAAGTGTACAGAAGGCTCTGGACACCCTGATCCAGAGTGGCACTGCTCTCTCGCACCTGGTTAGCCAAACCACAGCACAGGTGGGGCGGCCCCAGGCACCCATGGGATCTTACCAGAGGCATTACTGAGGCTCAATCTCAACTATTCCCAGCTCCCTCGTCCCCGGCCGCCTCCCATCTATTGTGTTCTAAGTAGTTATTTGGAGGATGTTCTTTGAGCCTATCCAGGTCACATCAAATGTCATAAGTTTCTACCATCTGCTCTCTCTTCTGCCCAAGGCTGTTGCTTATTCCTTCCAGAGTCAGAGTTTGTACTGCATTTGGGGTTGTGTATTTTTGTTGTTGTTGTTTTTGTTTTTTTGTAGAAAATAAATATTTCTGGGGTCACTTGGGTGGCAGTATAGGTGTCTGGGCTCAGTTGATATTTTATGGGTTTCAAACATGAGTTTCTCTGGTCTCTCTGTCACCTGGATTTGGGGGGTGGGGAAGAAGAAACCAAGCCCCAATTGGCTGAGTTTGGAATGGCATTTTCATGTCAATAGCCTTGGTTTGTTTTCCAGCCTCACAGGCCCATCAGAGCTCCAGCTCCTATCTGCAGCTCCTGCCCAGAGTTACCTAGCAGACTAGGCTCAGCAGGCATGGTGTCATTGTGCCCCACCCCTGTGTTGAGGGGTCTGCTCAAGGATGTATAATTTAGCTACTCTGGAGTTCAGGAGTGTCCATGGCAGCCACACAAACAATACAATCTTCTGCCTGACCCAGTATTGTTGGTTTTGGGTTTTCTCATTTTTCTCTTTTGCTCTCATTTCATTGGAGGATCTCCAGTGGACTGAACAATTCCAGTCACCAGCAGTTTAACACAAACTGTGAATCTGGGCCCCAACTATTCTTACCCCCCTAACATTTCCATCAACCTCTCCTTCTCCAGGGGTAGTTTGATGGAATCAGTTCTGAGAAGGCAACTCTAGACTCTGGCATTGAACACCCATTTTTTCAGTGGTTTGAGTTTTGGGCTTAAAAATCAATCTCTTATTTTCTGAATAGCAGGAGGTAGGGACCATTTTGATGTCAGACTTTTGGTAGCTGGACATGGAGGATCTTGATACAGGTGGCTGTTCATAACTTTTGAGCCAGAGTGAAATTATTGGAGGGAGGACTTCTGGCTGCTGCTCTAAGTGGAGCCAAAGGAAGCTGCCCTCTCCCTAGGGATGGTGCTCATTAGAGCCCTGTGCATCACAGTCTCAAGGGGCCTCTGGCAGAGACGAGGGAGAACAGTGACTTCAGCTGAGTCCTGCCAGTGGCTAAGCAAACAATGGTTTAAAAAACTCAAGGTCCCCAGATGGCAGCGTTTTATGTTCTGATCTGTTTGTGTTATATAGTGTTTTTCCCTTTTTGGAACTTGTGTTGTTGATAAGATAAGATGATTACTTTTTAATTAAAATGAAAAAGGAAATGTGTCGTCTTTTTGGAGTGTGACTACCTGCAGGACCTCTTGGGGGCATTCCCTCTGAGGGTTGGAACGTGAGGGTCCCTGGAAGCACTGACTAGTTTCAGTCTGCTGTGAGGCCTGCTCCTTCTTGTCCTCAACCTGTGCTCAGGCCTCGAAACCTCTTTTAACCCTAGCTTCTCGTCAGCTCACCTAGTTAGCAGCTTTAATAACAGTTCGGAGCAGAAGCCTGCTGTCTAATTATAATGCTGTTAAACATCCTTGTTTGTGGTAGAATTTCTGTGTGTCAGCAGGCTTGTCCTCTTATTCTAGGAAAGGAAAATAGGACCATGAGGAGGCCATTTCTGGCAACTGGCCAGTGGAGTGGGTTACTCTCCTGTTTTGATTTCATCTCAGTTGCCACCCTCTGTTCTGCCCATTATGCAGGGAGTTGGGAGAACCATAGAGTTACAGAATCTGTAGGAGCCTTCAAGAGCATTTAATAATAGCCGGCCCACCAGGAAACGGTGTGGGTGTGTGAAGTGACTGGCACAAGGCCTCCAGTGGGTTAGGGGCCAAAATACAGACAGCACTGAACCTGACTGATCCCTACTCACTAGCTCATGGGGTGATGTTCGTGCAGTGTTCTCTACTGGCCCCGGCTGCCAGTTCCTTCGTCCCTTGAGGACAGGGCCTCAAAACTGTCAGTACACTGACGAGGCAACCAGACCTGAGGGCTCAGCCCATCCCTCCTCTCAGGGAAAGTCAGTGTTTCTGATAGTCTGGGGTCCTCCTGGAGAGCCACGCTGAGTAATCCTCTTCCCAACTACTAATTCTTCCCCTCGTATGTCCAACCAGCACACCTCAGGCTGTGAAGGGTATAATAAAATTATTTTTATTGCATTTTGTGCAGACAGGAGTCTAAAAAATACAGTAAAAGCTGTAAAGCATTAAATGGGAGCATTCAACAGTAAAGGAAAGACCAACCCTCTCCTTTTCATATTGGCACAAAAAAACACAAGGTCAGTACTGAGGCAGAATGCGGAATACTGAAACACTGAAAATTAATGGCAGGCCTAATAATAGTAATAAATACTCTTGATTTGGTTTGCAATCTCTCCTATTTACAAGGGTTTTCAACTTCATTGCATTGCCCTGCACGTAGATCCTCTGAAAACAAAAGCAACACTAGTTATCACTACAAGGCTATTGAAATATTGCACTCAGAATAAAAGTCACTTGGACATGAAACATCTAGCTACAATGATTATAAAGATAATTTGATGAATGACATGATAACATTCATAACAAATATTGCACATGTAGCACAGAAAACTTGGGTTTTTGTTGTGGGATGTTTGTTTTCATCCATGGAAACTGCTCTTTGCCAACCTGACAGTCTGGGCCCAGATAATGCAACTTTGGTTCCCTAATTGGTGTTGATACAACCCCTCCCCCTTCTGCCCAGCCCACCACTTCAGCCCGACTGCTCAGGCCCTCACAAGGCTACACCAAGTTGTGATTCTCAGAGGTCTTGTGGAGGAAGGGGGCAGGGGAGCTGGTGTCTAATATCTCCAACTTTCTGATTACTACCTGGAAGAGTCTATCCAGCCCCCTCATCAAGTCTCAGATGGGCCTTGGCCTGTCAGACATCCAGACCTACCTCCAGCCACACCTGACCCAGTCAGCCTGGCACCAGCTCCAGTTCTTTGCCTACAGCTCAAAGGAAAGGAGGTGGTGAGGTCAGGAGTACCTAGTAGCCCCAGCTCTGGGAGCTGGGCCGGATGTCTAGGTGTGAAGGTCAGGGCCCTGGCGCTGGAGGTACTGGACCCAGTCAGTCCCAGAGGGCACTGGAAGGAGCATGCAGTGCCTGTCCCCCTTAGAAATGTGCCCTGGGAGAAGGGAACCCGGCCAATGCGCCTTCTCTACGGAGCAGAAGTGCCAAGGACTGCAGTTGGAGGAGCCAAAGGCCTCGGGTCCTAGATGGAGGAGGGCAGACAGGCGCTAGGAACAAAGCACACCGGACTGCAGGCCCCGCGCAGCTAGAGGCCGCTGCCAAACAGCGAGGGCCCGCCCCGGACGCCCGGAAAGGCGGCTAGGTCCCCGAGGCTGGAGCTGCCGAATGGGATGGGGGAGGGGGGCGGACTTCAGGGGCAGCGCTGGGACCTCCCGGTGGGTACGCACCTACACCGAAATCGCCCCCTCCTCCCTCACCAGTCCCAGAAAGAAAACTCCGGGTAGGGAACGCCCTCCAGCTCCCAGATTTGTCTTTGGCGAGGAGCCATGGGGTAAGGGAGCAGCCGACTGTGGAGAGGCGCCTGCTCCCAGCGAAGGCACCGGGACGGGGCTTCCTGGGCGGGGCGCGGCCTCTCCCCCTGCCCTGAGAAGCACCCCCTCCCCCAATCCTGGCCCCAGCTTGCATAAAAGCCGAGAAGAGGCTGCACGCGCCTCGGCAGCCGCAGTGGAAGCTCACGTCCGCGGGGAGGCGAATCCAAGAAGAGCTGGACGCTCGTCTCACCTCACCTCCGAAAGGAACCAGAGGGAAGGATCGGAAGCCAAGGGCGCGCGGACAGGGCGAGGCGCGAGCGGGGCGGGGTGTGGAGGGACCGGGACCAGGACTCCCGCCTGGGCCTAAAGCACTTTTGCTCGCAAGCGCTCGGATTCCAGGAAAAGCCAGCCTCCCCGAGGCGCCGCCGCCGGGCAGCCCGGCAGGGGAGCTCGACGGTGGCGAGAGGAGTCCGTTGCGCTTCTAGTCACAGAATATGGGGACGTTAAAAACACACGCGATGTCTCCTGTACACTATGTATAGGCTCGGCGGCCCACGCTGGAGGCTCCGCCAGGAGG